AAATATGAAAAAAAATTGAAACAAGCAAACTTATATTTAGATGCTGATTATTATTCAAAAATACTTGTAAAATGCAGTATTATTATAGATATTTATTCTATAAATCATAAACATAAAATTAATTTTGGTGAAAATTATGTAATTACTCCACATAATAACTAACATAACAGTCACATATAACTGACACAAAACTTGCCAATGGAGACATCTGAATAGTACTGTATTAAAAAAGCATAATAGTCATTTTTGATAGAGTTCAGTTCAATCATGAAAATTTATGACTTATTGATTTTTTCAAATTTGACTGTCAGGCCTATTGGATTTTTGAAAATTTTAAAGTATCATTGATGTGGTTTATTCTACTTTCAATGTCTGTTAATTTTTTTGAATTTACTGCTATTTATCATGCTCAATATTCCAAGTTAAATGGAATGGTTAGCTATTTTGAAACATATACATAAATATTTTGTAAATATTAACAAACAAAATCTGAATATTAGTTAAAATGAATAAAAGAAATGAAGGAAATAAACTTATAAAAGATTATAAAAATTGCCTGAAGATTTGATGATTGTCGGTCAACAAATTGGTTACTCAATTTAATCCATCAATGTCAAATATCAAAGATGTTAAAAATGAAATAATTTAAAGTTATAACATATTTTGAATTTTTTCTCAAATGTAACATTACATACATATATTACAAATGCCAAGTACTGTACAACATTAAATGATGTTGTACAGTACTTGGTGTTACTGTATTACATTAAATGATGTAATTTATCAAGCTGACTCAACTGAGAAAAACTGAAATTTCTATTTGGCAGTTAATGTGCTAAAAAGTTTAAAATATTTTCAAAAAGACTTTTGTAACATCTTTTCAACAACAGCTCTTTTAACTGATCCTTATGAATACAATTATGTGACAAGCATATAAACTATCATCCAAAATCAAAGCTGGAACTGTTAACTAGTGAAATCAAAATCATTCACACTTTTTCAAGCAAATGGGTTTAGTAAATAAATGTTTTCAGTTTACTTTATAAACCTTCCTCAGGTTTTTCAGAATTTTGTAGTTTGAAACCTGAGGCAAGTTTATAAAATAAATTGAAAATGTTTGTTCATTAACCGATTTACTGGAAAAGTGTGAATGATTTTAATTTTACAAACTATCAGCCATTAGAAAACTCATCACATGAGCATATTCACACTTCAAATATTAAGGATCAATTAAAAAAGGCAGTTTAATCATAAAAAAGCTTTTAGTTGATGATTGTAACTCCATTAAAGATTTAACACTTATAATAATTTAATTTGGAAAATAAAATACATTAATGAAATACATTTTGTTACTGATAAATAAATTACAACTTTTTAAATTAATAAATGTACTAATTATATTTTTATCAATAAAAAAAAATTCCATATTCTACATTCTATTTTCTAAATATTTTTACTTAATAATGATTATAATATATTTATAAAATATTTACTATTTAGTTTAAAAAATAATCTAGCATTAGCTAATTATTAATTTATTAGTTAGTTAATGCTAGCTGCAGTTATATATTAATAATAACCTATAGCAATAGGTTTGAATTATAAATTTGAATTATCTACAGTGGTACCTCAGGATACGAAATTAATCCGTTCCGAAACTGAGATCGTATCATGAAAATGTCGTAAGGTGAATCATTTTTCCCCATACGATTACACGTAAAACCAAATAATTCGTTCCAACACGAAAAACACACTCAAATTAAAGCTAAGTAGTACATTTAAAAAATAACTATAGTAAGGAAAACAATGAAAAATGCATTTTGTAGCTGTAAATGTATAAATAACCATAATAGAATAATAATTTATTTAAAAAAATGTAGGTTTATTTGCACTTTACCTTTGAGGATAGACGACGGTGGAGGTGTAAACTGGTGGTGGAAGAGAAGGAGAAGGAAAATGATACTAAAACTTAACTTACATAACATAACGTAACAATAACTTAAAAATAACTTAGAAAAAATAAAAAATTTAGTATTGTTTTATATATATATATATAAATATATATATTAATTTTTATTCACTGCTTTTTGCTTTCTTTCCTTCACTTCCACCAGCACTTTCACTGGATAGAGGTCGCTTGGTAAAAAAAGTAGGCAAAGCCAAACTTCTTCGGATAGACATCCGAAGAAGTTTGGCTTTACCTACTTTTTAAAATGTTTCTAAAATGACTTATGCAAATGTCATTCCTCCGAGCAGCAATACGGCCAGTGTGAACCTTTTCGGAATGTTTCTTTTCAATAAAATCAGTCACTTTCTGATAATACCTCAAGATTTCCTTTATCGAGCGAGATCCTTCCACGACGAAGCAAACACACGGACTGAAACCAATAAACAGAAGTGAATAAAAAATAACGCTGCGAACTAATGTAACGTCGTATGATGAGTCTTTGTTCGTATCGTGGAGCAAAAATATGTTCGAATTTCATGTCGTATCCTGAAAATTTCGTATGCTGGGCCGTTCGTATCCTCAGGTACAACTGTATTAAGTTTAACTTTATTAAAACTGCTGTTATTGGTTTAAGTTTTTAAAAAAGCATTGATATAAACTATTTATTCTTTATGTTTATAATTTAAAAAATAAATAAATGAAATGAAATTATTGAGTTATTAGGCCAATAATTATTTGTTTTTAGCATTAAATTATTTTTTTCTTTGCAAGTTACTCTAGGTAATTGAGAATAATAAAACTTGAATAAACTAAACATTAAAAAATAGAAGATATCAAATTCAAAATTAAATTAAGATGTAAATAACTTAACAAAATCATGTACTCACCTAAAATATAAATCCTTTGAAAACTTAAAACATTATTCAAATTTAAATATGTAAAAGAATGTTTGGAAAATGAAATCGTAATTAAATGACTTATAAAAGCATTAAAATGCTATATTCCTTTTAAAAAGTATCATTGTTAAAAAATTACATAAATGAATATTAATATTCAAAATCAAATTTGTTAATATAATTTAAATCAAAAAAATCTAAAAGATAAAAGTAACTGTTTTTATCACATATGCAACCAACTTAATAATGAATTTAAATATCAAATGAGCAACTGGATTCATTATTGGACTACTTAGGCTAATTATTTATTAACAATAATAATTAGCCTTAAGTAGCCTGATAAAGAATCTGGATGTTCATTTAGTAACTATTTTATTTAGAAAAAACTTAAGTAAATAATAATTATTGTAACTTATAATTAATTAAATTATTTAAGCATTTAACTTAAATGCTATCATCACAATAAGATGGTGAAACTGATGAACCTGATGATGTATCTTCTCCAACAGAAAGACTGACATCTAAGTCATGTTGATAATGCCTAGGCAATGAAAATCTTCTTAAATTGCACTCTCTGATATAAAATGCAGGATCATCAACAACTGGAGCTGTTTCTTCTTCTGAAAGGGATTCTACTTTTTCTGTAACATCATCAAACATATCCATTCCCTCATGAAGACTATCACTGTAATTCCTGTCAGCTTGAGCATAATCATCTTCTTGTACTGAATAATCAATTCTCTGAGATAAAAGTGAATATTGATCCTGAGTCTGTACTGCAACATCATGACTAGTTTCAGAAAATATTTCATCTAAATGACTTGGTTGAGTAGAATCATCTGTGCCATCAAATTCATCACCTGATGGTATTTGTGTATCAAATAATTGTGAATCACTTAATTTATGCATCTCTTCTGAGCTACTAGTACTTGTATGGGAACAAGGAGCATCACTAACAGATGATGAATCGCTATAATAATCATTAACAATATCTGTTTCAACTGATTTATTATCATCTGCATCTTTAGTAGTTAAACTTGATGTATTTTTTTCCTCAGGTGGAGTTTCTTTAATGTTTTGTTTATCATCTTTTATGAATACATTATAGCCAAATATTTCTTTTCCACTGGATATATAATATTTTACTTGATTTCCTTCCATTTCTAAACACAAAGATTCCATGGCTGCAATAGATAACTCTTCTTCAGTTCTATGTAAATTATCAAGCTCTGTTTGTGTATGACTGATAAGATTATTCTGAAAAATTGCTTCACCTCTTATATTAGAATCAAAGACAGATTTTTCAGGTTTTGTCTGATGAAAATTATCTATTCTATCATTTTGTCTAATTTCATTTCGTGGGATAAAAGGAATTACAGGTTGTTTATATGTTTGAATATTTTTGAAAGATTTATCAATATTTTTACCTACATTTTTTTGAATTCTATATCCATCTCTTCTATTTAATCTTTCATTTCTCTTTACTTGTTGAAATATTTCTCTTTCTAATGGTTTTTCTTCAACAGAATCATCTTGAGAGGAAAAGCTTTTTGTTGCCGGTAACTGATGAACTGCAACAAAATCAACAGTGTGCGAATAAAATTTAGGAAATCCCCTATTTCTATTATATTTTGATTGAAAACCATATCTGTTGGCACGAACATACAGAGTAGGACTGGAATGACTTCTAAAGCCATGTTCCATTGCTACTCTAACTCTTGAGTTTTTATTACTTTTTCTTTTTTGAGGAGAAAACTGTTGATTGCTAGTTAAATGTCTTCTATATAAAACGTAAGTTATATCTTCATTTAATATACTTTCAACAGTTTCCTCCTCAACATTTTCAGATTCATTTACTTGTATATTTTCACTTATCTTATCACTAAGACTCTCACATTTTTCTCTCTCTATATCACTACTAACCTCATTCTGTTCATTCACCAGTGGTGCTTTGAACTCTGAGCTTTCATCATTTATTTGATCGAAACTATAAATAAGCGAAATACTATCACCATGATCACCACTAGTGGTAGTATTTAATGTGTCTCTATCTTCTAATTGATATGAATCATGAGAAATATCATCTATATCATTTCCCAAGTAATCTGTACTATAAAACCCCTCCCTACTGTGAGTGAAGTCTGGAGATTGCAAACCTGGTGGAAGGTCTCGCCTGTCTGGAGTTTTCTGTCCTTCTGTACATATACTTCCATTTGCAACAACTCTTACTGGTTCTTGAGAAAGCCGTGGAGATGATGGTTGTGATGCAGAAGTCAATTTGGGAGAAGGAGAAGGACTAGTATTTTCCTCCCTTGTTAAGATCACAGAGCCACATGATTGACTATTACTGACTGGAAGAAGAGGTTGAGCAGATATTGATGTGCCCACAGTTCCTACACCTCTATGAGAAGTACTCGGTATCCGAAGGCTAGTGGATCTGTCATGAGAAGGGACATGTAAAAAAAAAGGGAATATTTAATAAATAATATCAATAAGATACTAGTTACTGATTTTACATAAAGTAGAAAATAATTTTAAAAATTATACATAAAATAATATAAAATTCCAAGTCTATTATTGGAAGAACTGAAAATTAATAAAAACTTCAAACTACATTTAGATATTTTTAAAATAATCTTTTACAGATTTTTAAATCAACTTTTATTTATTTATTTAAATTTGTTGCTTACATACAATAAAGGTTGAAACAGACATTGATGCCTTGCAAATCATAGTTTTCTTAATTTAATATTTAAACAAAAACATATACAAAAATTTCTGCAAAAAAAAAAAAAAAAAAAAAAAAAAAAAAAAAAAAAAAAAAAAAAAAAAAAAAAAAAAAAAAAAAAAAAAAAAAAAAAAAAAAAAAAAAAAAAAAAAAAAAAAAAAAAAAAAANAACTTAATATATATATATATATATATATTTTTTTTTTCATATACTAGCTTTATGATTTATATTTTAAATAAGAAATGTGCTTCAATATCTTCTACATTCATAATGAAGCTATCATTTTGAACTTCTTGTATTAAAATGTAATTTTTGAAGCATTCTTGACAACCAACAAAACTTTACATAATACCTAAACTATATACAATATTTCCTTGATTAAACCCCAGGATTTAATTAAACCCCAAAGGAATAAAGAAATACTGTTTAAAATAAATCCAGGGTTGAAAAGCATGGGAAACATGTTCAAGTATTGTAAAGTGTAGGATAATGTACTGTACTTTAAGAGTGACAAGAAAGAAATTTAACTAAAATTCTACCTCTTTATTCTACTTGTCTAGAGTCTAACAGAACTTTCTATTCCAAGATTTATGGGAACATTTTTGGAAATAAAATTATAAACATTGTCAAATATTGGAAAAAGTCACAATTTAGCTCATAAATTGAGAATGTGAGATCCTGGGCTACATTTTTGTAAAAGATTAATATTTTAAAATAATTTATTAAATAAATTGTTAACAAAAGAGAAAATTTTTGAAAAAGTGACAAGGAAGTGGTGAAATTTTGTCAAAGATAACACTTCCTTTTCAATGACTCTTCTCCCTGGAGTGATGACTCACCTGAGGAAGTAAAGAGAAAATTTAGGATTTGGATAACATCAGAGTTTCCATCTGATATTGCCTTTTTGGGTATCATCTTGACTCAGAGAGAAATTGAAAAAATATAAAAGGACCAAGAAAAGGTCAACAATGTTGTCTAGTTTCACCTGTTGTGTAGAGACTCTCAGACAATACACTACTACTACTACTACTACTAATGTCCAATTCAATAATAGCAATCCAGTCTAGACCATCCCAGTTAAAGTTTATTTCCACGTCAAGTCAAATTTTGGTCACCATCGAATCATTGTCCCATTGAACAATCACTCTCATTAAGAACATAAATTTTCAACAGTAAAGACATCAATCTACAAATTCTGTGGTATTTATCTACCTACAACCCTACGTAAACTCTCTCTCTTGTGACAAAAGACCTTAGTTTATAAGATAGCTTCAAAGTAGAAAAGGGCCAGTCAATAGCTATAGTTGGGAGTTGTGCCTACTTATTTTATTGTTATGCATCTTTATGCAATCAGGAATTCTTTTGAATTACTTATATCATGTGGTTTTATTTTGTTATATACAGTTGTAGAATTTTATATACTCTTGTCAAGTAACCTAGTTTTGTTTTAGTATAATTTTGTCATTGAGTGCACTTCTTCAAGTACTCCTTATCTCTCTTATTTTTCCTCCTCTATTCCTTGCTACAAGTCTCCCATATGAAAAATCATGACCGAGGTATGGACAAATCCCAGGTGTGTCAGAAAAACCCTTGGTCATTCTGTATGATTGGTTCACTGTGATTTACTATCACATGAAAACTCCCACTTCTGATTACGTGATTGTCACAAGAACTTATCAACCAAAGAGTAACTAGGAAAATTTGAATTGGAAATGATGAGTTTGAACTAGATGGAAGTCAAGATCCTGATTCCAATACAGACATGAATGGCAACATAACAACTGAATCTAAAGATGCTGAATCAGATTAAGTATGAAAATAGTAATTATTTCAAATGTTGTAGCTATCATCCATAAATAAATTGTTTTGATAATTCCAGAAATGTACAAGGTATTTCTTTCAATTTTTATTTATGCATCTCCTGTTACAAGATAATTGTGTGTGCATGTGTGTGTGTGTCACTCACCAGAGAAAGGGAAATAAATACATGACAGCACTGGCCCATGTATTTTGCAAACATTTTCATGGAAACAGATGCATATAGGTGATCACACTAGAAGGTATGCTAGATAATTTAGAGACTGGATTATTAACGATCAGATTAGCAAGAATGTATTATATTGATTTACTGTCAAGCTAAGAAATTTATTGTTTATATCTGCTTAGAAAATGTTTACTATTATTATTTCTTTATATATTAATACTTAAAAACTTTACAATTTTTCTTTCAATATGCAAATATTAAAAAATAAATATCAAATTAATATTTCAATCAATCAATAATTTAAATCAATTTTCGACTTTGATATATTACATACACATGTGTATATGTAATATTGTGTTGAGTGAAAATTTTTAGTATCGGTTTTGCCTCTTTCCAGTGTAGGTGACATCTTATCTAACTTGTGAATTATAAACAATAAATTTCTTAGCTTGACAGTAAATCAATATAATATACTCTTAATCATCGAAGACAAGTCTGTCCAAAAGGGACCACCACTTATTTTGTATTCCAGACTTTACACATACACATCCATGGCGACAGGCCATCCTTTTTAGGCTTCATGCCGCCATAGATAAAAAAAAAAGCCATTTAAAAAATATAAACATCCATTTAAAAGGATTTTTAAATGGCTTTTTTTATCTCTGGTGGCATGAAGTCTAATAAGGAAAGTCTGTCGCCATGGATGTGTATGTGTAAAGTCTGGAATACAAAATAAATGGTGGTCCCTTCTGAACAGACTTGTCTTCGATGATTAATAATAATCTCACCATCAGACGAAAAATTAAACAAAAAAAAANCTGGAATACAAAATAAATGGTGGTCCCTTCTGAACAGACTTGTCTTCGATGATTAATAATAATCTCACCATCAGACGAAAAATTAACCAAAAAAAATAAAAAATAAATAATAATAATAATAATACACTCTTGCCAATCTGATCATTAATACTGTAATCCAGCCTCTAAATTATCCAGCATATCTTCTAGTGTGATCACCTATATGCATCTGTTTCTATGAAAATGTTAATCATGTTATAAAGTTACACCCTGTTCTCCTGTTTACTAATGTTTCATTTCTGTGTACAGTATTGAACATCAACATGCCATATTATTTATCCATCTGCCTCCAAAAAGAATCAGTACCAAAGGACAACAGATAATATTATTGTCCTTTGGTACACACTCAGTAATCAGGCACTTTCACTAATCTGGNAAGTGACAATTCAATCTTTAAAACAAGCAGTTTAAGAAACATGAAAGTGATATAAAGAAGGGAATGTGTAATACTGCCCTTGCAGTCTTTGCATCATATTATTTATCCATCTGCCTCCAAAAAGAATCAGTACCAAAGGACAACAGATAATATTATTGTCCTTTGGTACACACTCAGTAATCAGGCACTTTCACTAATCTGGCATTCCTGCATGCAAGAAATGACTGAATTAATAAGAGTTTAGTGTATTTAGCTTTAATCATTCTACAAAAAATATAAAATATATATACAGTAAGACCCTGCTTAATATGGGGGGGATGTGTTCCTAGACAACAAAACACTAAGTGAAACAGCATTAAATGAGGTCATTTTAACATCAAGTAAATAGAGATAGGGGAACACGCGACCAAATATAAACAAATTTTACTACAGTACTTTAATTTTAAGTTATTTTTATATTAATTTGTATAATAATATATGTTAAATAACACATAAACATATGCACACAGAAATGTAAAGTTCATTTTTTGTGATGAAGATCCTGAGTTTTCTGAAATTCTTGTTCCTTTGCAATAAAGTCATAAAGTTTCATTTATCGCTTTTTTCTTTCCTTAAGCAAATGTCGGTAGCAGAAGATCGTATCCAAAATGCCTCGTTTTGCTTTTGCACTCCTTTCAAAATTTGGATCATTCGCTACAATTTGATCAATGATTTCGGTTATCATTACCAAACTTTTACTAAGGAAATCTGTAGAGACATTTTTTGGGTTCTTCGTTTTCAGAATCTCTATTTTCCAGTTCCACATGAATTCCATGTTCTGCCAGTTCTTGAAGGTCATCATTGGTAAGGCTCTCATCAGAAACCTGCTGTAATTCCTCAATATCCTGCTCGTCTATATCTCCTAGTCCTGCTCAATTAGGTTGAGTTTTGGTCAACCTAACGATACAGGCTCTTCTCATTGAGAATTCATGGATATCTTCAGCCATAACTTCCACACTTCATTCGTGCATTTATCAGTTAATTCTTGCCAAGCAAAATCGAAGTCAATATTTCCTATGGCATCCATGATGTTATATTTTTTCCAAAATTGCACCAAACAAACATAGATTTAAAAAAAGTACACCTTTTTGCCACTGATTGCAAAAGTCTGCAAATAATCGTATTATATATGAATCAATGAAATACAGTAGAGCATCATTTATCCGAAAGCCAGTTATCCGAAACATCGGTTAACCGAAAGCATTTCAGTCAGCAAATTTAAATTTTTGCTAGTGCTGTGGCGTTGCAATCTTTGGCTATATCTTGGGCTACTCCAATATTTTTTTTGTTGGTATTTTGTTGGCAACAATATTTTATTGTTGGTGTGTGTGTTTTAGCTGGCAGCCCTGGCATTTTTATGTGTGGTGTTTTTCTGAAGACTGTGTGTCATGCTGAATCGAACGTTTTTGATACTAGATCAACTTCTGAAGTATATACTTTTTGGTTTTTATATTTTTCAATATATTTATTTCGTTTGTAAAAAATAAAGAAATAATTTTTTATGATACAATAGCCATGATTATTATTTTAAAAAGTTTACATTAGGATTAACGTCAACGAAAATTCAATGCGAAGTGACATGCAACGGAGAAAAATTTCAACATGGAATAGGTTAATATATTTTTTCGTACATAATTGATTATCCGAAAAATAAGTTATCCGAACAACTCCAGTCCCCAATTGATTCGGATAAACGATGCTCTACTGTGCCACAATAATTTAAATCAGTGTAAATTTTGAGCTTTTTTTAGGCTTCGAGCAGACTGCATTATATCGAATCAGCGTTAAGTGGGGTCTTACCGTACATATATAAAAATATATCTTCCAATTTAATACACACAATTTATTACAAACATGTATTTTTAATAAGACAAATACTTACCTTTGAAAATTCTGTCTTTTAACATAGTTCTCACGAACATATTCTACCATTTGTTTCTGTGTTCTTCCACTATACCTGCATAAGAATTATTTAAAAAAATATACTTATCAATTATATACTTATCAATTATCAAAATATACTCAATTAGCAAACAAAAGAGGAAATGCAAAATTGACATACTTATGAATTATTTCATTTCCTCTATTCAAAGTTTAATTTGACAATTTACAAGATAAAATGAGAAACTGTTAAACTGTTAATAAATGTTAATTCTGTAGACAAAACATGCCAATCTTATTGCATTTTGCACATAGTTTTGAAAGTTATCATATTACTAATGTTTTGAGTCCACATCTAGGCCCTTTGTCAGGTAGATCTTTTTGAAAAACAATCCTTTGAAAAACTATTTTGAAATGGCTTCGACTCTGATATATTCAAATTTCGAACATTTTCTTTTTTATGAAATTTTCTTTCACTGTCTAAACATGTGCACATGTATCTTTTGTTATAACATCAGGTGGTACATAGCTTGCCATGCTTGGTTTAGAATTAACACTTTGTTTAGAAGATTATTTTAGTGTTCTGTAGATCAATTTACATATCNGTGCAAATGAATATTAGATATTTGCATATTTTATCTACTGTATATCACACACAATGTCTTAGAAAAATATACTTTGACTGAAACTATTAGTATTAAAAATAACTATATAATATATAAAGTCAAATTTAATATAATGGACTTATCCAGGAAACACAGAAAATTTGATATATAGAAAATTCATTAAATAGAAAATGTACAATAGCAAAAACAAAACACAATATAGTATAATAAAGTTTTATTCTTCATGACAATATCCTTGTACTCATATTTGAGGCAGAGTATCAGTATAGTTAGTGTCACCTCTTCTATATGGCTTACAGAATTGTGTTCATTCTCAAAATCTGTTTGATCAATTTTGATTAAACTTTGCCATTTTCCATTAACTATGATGAGGAATCCAAAAACATAGTAAAAAATGGGGGACCTTATATCTCGAAAACATGGCTTTATTTTCAAGATATAAGGTCATTTTATGAGTGTGTGTGATAAAGCAATATCGCACAAATTGTGTGACTTTGTCGTGCAATGTTCCATGGTTGCTAGCATGCCTTCTATTAGCTTTGCTATAAAATCAAGTTTATTCTCAAAATTTAATGGGCCAATTTTGATAAAACTTTGCGATTTTCCATCAATTGCAATGAGGAGTCTGAAAATGTAATGATGGTCCATTTAAAGGTAAAAAAATAAGAGTCCATGACTTTGTTTTCCATATATAGAGGTAGTAAAGTGGAAATGTCTGTGCTCACTGATGCAACTGAGTGCACCTAATGGAATTTAGTCTTAGAAATCAAAAATAAAAGCAGCATTGCATGCACCTAACGAAAAATATACACAAAAAACATTCAATGACAACTGCTTTATTCTTAGATTGCTTCTCTATGTCGGCAAGTGCAACGTTACCTGTCCACATCTGCCTGACATTTAGGAGCATCTTTTCCATAAACTATAAGCATTTTTTACTGTTTGTATAACATTATATAACTTTACAAAACTTAAAAAGCATACATAATATTGTGAGATCAAGGAGACTGAAACAGTCTATTCCATCTCACAGGGATGGCCATTATAGTTAAGAAGATCCTGTAAAAATCTTGTCAGTCTTGACACCACTTAGTCTAGTTTGCAGACTAAGACACAAAGTAAAGTAGAATTTGTATCACTGGAATATAGGAAAGTTGCTTTAAACATTAACAACATTAGTTACATGGATTACATGATTTACATGAATTTCATGGTAATGTGGATTGATGATGGAGTTAGGCATTAAATCAATTATTCAAATTAGGATTTTTCTATATATTTATTAAGACAAACTATAATTAAAATATATACATAAAAGTGTACCTTAAACATAATAAGAACAAGCAAGTAATATTACTATAAAATACAGAGAGAATCGAATCTAACCTCTAAATCTAACCTGACTTGAGAGAAAGTTTACATGACATAATTATATTACCTATGTTTCCATAGTAGTCATGGAGAGTTGAGTAGTCCCTGGAAACAACTGGAGGTTGAGAACTAGCAGAGGGATGGCTAGTCTTGGGTGCTCGGCAAAAGCACCAAAATGAAAGCATTGGCTAAACAATCTAATCTAATATACTTCTAGAAGCAAAGACTCGCTCGGGGTCTGGGTGGCGTAACTGGCAAGCGCACCGCACGACAAGCGAAGGTTGCGGGTTCAAGCCATCCCGGGCCAGTTCTTTTATTCCAGAAGGTTCTAAAATTTATTTAATAATTTATTTATTTAATTTTAATTATTAATTTACTTAAGAGATGGCACCTACCTCTAATGTCAAATTACTTTATTCCAATCATTTAATTAGCCATATTATAGCCCGATATNCAAACAAAAGAGGAAATGCAAAATTGACATACTTATGAATTATTTCATTTCCTCTATTCAAAGTTTAATTTGACAATTTACAAGATAAAATGAGAAACTGTTAAACTGTTAATAAATGTTAATTCTGTAGACAAAACATGCCAATCTTATTGCATTTTGCACATAGTTTTGAAAGTTATCATATTACTAATGTTTTGAGTCCACATCTAGGCCCTTTGTCAGGTAGATCTTTTTGAAAAACAATCCTTTGAAAAACTATTTTGAAATGGCTTCGACTCTGATATATTCAAATTTCGAACATTTTCTTTTTTATGAATTTTTCTTTCACTGTCTAAACATGTGCACATGTATCTTTTGTTATAACATCAGGTGGTACATAGCTTGCCATGCTTGGTTTAGAATTAACACTTTGTTTAGAAGATTATTTTAGTGTTCTGTAGATCAATTTACATATCAAATCATCTTAAAATGCTTATAAACTTATTCTAATTTTTATACATTTCAACCAACATTTTATCTATATTCATCAGTAACACTCTTTCTACTGTACTTTTTCCATCTTTCTATAGAACACAATTTATATTTATCCATTGTGAAAAATTTTTTTATACATTGTGACCCAATCTATGAGTATTTGATATATGAGAGAGTTGTTTTATTTTAATCTGCTTCCTCATTCATGAGATAAAATATTCAATACAATGAGCACCAACTGATATTTATAAGAACAACATAATCACCAGTGTGATGAATAAAATTTTCATTCACTCTAATCACATGATTTCCAGTCTCCATTTTCTTTGTTTCATTTTCATTCATATTATATCTTCATTCACTAGGAATAGTGCTATTTCTTCTAATGCAAAATAAGAATTCCAAACTGAAAATATTTATGTATCAACTAGATAACCTTTTTTCAATATCACACAAAAACTAGATGTTTATTAAGATCAATATACAAGGTACAATACAATAGTAGGCTTTCCACCATTTATAAGAAAATAGCCAAGATCAACAATGCCAATCTTGCATATAAGAGAAGTCCGATAATTTTGTGTTACTTAAGAATGCTCCCCATTAGGAAGTATCTACCAGAGAGATACTCCATCCCCATTGCAGATAACAGAGTGAACCAATATTGGGAATACACTGAAGTGACAATTCAATCTTTAAAACAAGCAGTTTAAGAAACATGAAAGTGATATAAAGAAGGGAATGTGTAATACTGCCCTTGCAGTCTTTGCATCTGACAATGATGTCTGCATTTCTTTGAACCACACCCAGATTATACATCATACTGACATTAGAGCCTGCCTCAAACATTTAGAAAGGCTGGAGATATATAAGATGGTGAAAAAGGTTACCACCATAAACTATAAGGTTGCCAATACCATCTCCTTGGAATGAAAATTACTATTTATAGTCTCCTCAAGAAAAATTAAATACTTAATGTATATTTTATTAATTTTCATTTATGTGGAGTTTATTTAATTTGTTCTAACTGCATAAGCGGCTCCATCCATGCATATGGCAAGTGTTCAATGAAACATATGGTTCTTCATTTTTCTAGTAAATGTTCTATTTCATGTTATTTGTTAGGATATATAACCTGATGATGACCATTAAAAACAGCTAAAAATGTTCATTTATTCATTAAATAAGTATTTCTTGCTGGATTTTTGGTGCTTTTGTTGATTATTTTAACCTTTTCTTTATTTCAGCAATTTATTAGTAGATACGACACATTTTTGAACAGCTTGACTGCCTTGCTTCAGATCTGTTACAAATATGTTCTATTTGGAATGCTCATTCCATAGCATTCTAAAACATTTAAACTAATTTAAAAATTTAAATTATGTTTCAAATTTACATAATTAATTAAATTTACCTATTATATATTTCATATAACTTTAGTCCAACTTTTCAGTTAGATTGAGTTCTTATAATGAATTTTTTTCCAGGGGTTATCATAAAAGACTTTCCATGCACAAGATACAGAGTCAGCATCATGTATATGGATGCAATCTTTCTTCATGACTGTTTTATATATGTCCAACATCTCTAATACAGTTCATTAAACTTAATCACTACATTGCATATTTTTCTATTAATGATTACAAGTTTATTAATTAAAAAACAATTTCATTTTACTCTATTTTACTTGTTTTCTATTTACTTACTATCTTAAGCAACTTTTCTTTTCCTATCATTAATAAATAACAAATATTTGATAACATATATTTGCTTTCCTCATCTTGCATTAGTCTCTTTTATATGAATAACCTAATCAAAAACTTTATTTTATTTCATTTAGAATCATTGATTAATAGGTAAATAGGTGATGTATAGAATATTATTATTATTATTATTATTATTTGGAGAAAATGTTAAGACGACTGGATTATGCTGAAACAAAATACAAATTTTGTTCTTAAGAAATAAATAGAGATAAGCTTTTCCATTATGACATTGATTTACAATTAGTTTTCAGAAATGATGTAGACTCTTAAATCAGGATACTGGTTTTTTTATAACATAATCAATTAGAAATTTATATGTTGAAAAATAGAAATAGACAGATTTAGAATATTAATACAGTAAAATCTGGATTTAGCATATGTTCTTGGGACTAGAGACAGTCCACTTAAGCCATTCTTAGGACAATATTCTTAATGTCATTTTTCCATTAAGCAAGGACGAAATACTGAGACCAATTTACTAATGTTTGATGGATAAAGAGTCAAATCTGGAATGTGAAAATCTTGTTTGACAAGATTAAAGAAACAAAAAATGTTGGCATCAAAAATAGTATTTTTTAAATGATATCTATAAAAAACATATAATCCTTTATAACATTAAACAGATCTGTCTGCTTAATCTGCTTAACAAATGTTTTGGAAAATAGAAAATGTAGGAAATTTTTATTTAATGTCCAAGAAAGCAGTGTCCATTCAATCATGATAAAAATACATCAACAGTCCTATTATATGTTCTGCCCACTAAACTCTGTTTTCATTGTATGTAAAGAATAATGTAAATTTCCAAATAAATAAGTTTTGAACTTAGCTATTAATTATATTTAAACAACATTAAATCTCTCAGTTTGAGAGCAGATTAATTCTCAGCTTTAATTAGTTTTTGAGATATTTAAAATAAATAAAATATGTATGCTCTAATAATAACTTATATTTGTGTAATTATTAATTGCAGATTAATTCAAATCATATTTTATAAAATATTCAAATATTTCTTTGTTTAATAATTTAATTTTACTTAATTTTCATAATTTATTGCGTATAACTTGCAGGTGATCTATGTTTTACAGTCAATTTGAAAGGGAGTGCAAGTTATGCACTGTTGTAGATTATCTGCTAATTAACTGCAATTATGAGCTCATCCAAAAGCTTCTCCTTTGCTTAAACTTACCAAAACTATCTTTAAAAATCATAAAAACTCCTTTCTCTGCCATACATATTCATCTACCATTGCAATTTTCCACAAACTAGCAAAGAGACTTTTATGCATACTTCCTGCTTAAACTCATATCTTGAAAGTGGATAAACATGCAGTAATTCCTTTAGATGCATTTCGGTCCTTTTAGAAAAGGACCGAAATGCATCTATAGTAATAGAATAAAGTGAAATCATTGGCTAAAGCTGTGTGATAGTCTACCGCCAATATTAAAATTTACATTTTAAGTGCGGATTTGCAAAGACTTTACGATATATATATAACAGCAGTCATAAGAAATTTAATTAAAACAGTAATTCCTCTTTTTGTATGCAATGATTTTCAGAGAACTATTTAGAAGCCAACTGTTGATTTTAGCAATTAATCCTTCACAGCAAATAAGAGTTAAGCAATCAATTCTCAAACTCATGTAATTGTATATTGTAGAGTTTTATGTGCAACTTTCTTATAGAATCAAGAATAATGATGTTAACATCAATTACTTTATTTACACTATATCCAGTATCACAATCAATCCCATTAAGAGTCATACCAAATAGATTCTCACCTAAAACTTGCCTGGACTCTTGGAAACTCTTTAGACATAAATATACTACAGATATTATCCATGTTAAAATTTTTTTCTATTTAAATTTTTTTTTTGTTTATTTCACCATTTGCTTGGTATTGGGTAAGATATAAAACACCAACACTATAATAATAATAATAATGTATAAAATTTATCAAAAATAGTTCTAGTATATTGGAATAAAATCTGCCACATATAGTACTGTGAGACAAGCAGCGGGCCACAGGTTAATCCCACAATGACCACTTACTCTGCAAGGGCTCATGAAGTCCGATCTTGGCATCGTCGGATGGCAAGGAGGGCAAAAAGTGAGTCGGGAGTGTGCCGGTAAGTTGGCAGGTGCTGGTTAGACAGGAGACAGGTCAACAGAATAACAAGCATTTATTAATTAACACAACTAAGTTACAAAAATACTAAAGCTAAATGCTATTATATTAAAGTATGTACAAAAATTGGCGATTACGTTCTTAGCTAGGTCGCTGCCCTAGTTTCTAGTTCTAGTTCAGAGAGAGAGCGCTTTTATAAAATCTAACCCCTAAATACCTCTAGGTGGAAGGGAGAGTTGGCAAATGTTGTCTGTATGGAAGGGTGTGGTGTCTTCTATGTCTTCTCCGACGGGATTACAGTCCTTGGCACGGAGATCGACGAACACAAGTACTAAGAATACCTTCCGTGTGTGGACGCCCGGAGCTTCCGGTGATCTCCTCTTTTATATCTTTTTGTGCGCGAGCTGACACATCATCGACTCTTGTTGACGATGACGGTGCATTCTTCACACTCAAATGTAAACTTCCTCAGCTCGTTGATATAGTTTAAATTCCTCAGGTTTTTTCCGAAGTTAATTAACCGAAAATTTAGATGTTTAAGTGGCCTGTACAAATCCAACAAATTCTGCACTTCACAGTACTTATGTGAGCCCAAGGGTTTTGAGGGTGTAAATTTTTGAGTTTAACATATTTTTACATTAGAGGATGAAAAAAATAATTTATTGCAAGTTATAACGGAAATAGATCGAATATCGAATTTTACACATCCACAAGGTAGGAAGGAAGAAAGACAAGTCACTGTACATTTGTTAATTAGTCATCGTGCACGTGCTAATTAGTCATCATAACGAGTGAATGACCTGTTGGCTCAATGCCAACGACGATTGTATAAAAACAATCATCACGGGAAGTTCAGGGCAATTGTCCCCTCAGTGCGACTGTCCCTCCACGCAACCATCTGGAAGGTCTGAGTACAGTGTCTCCCGTCCTGATCCTGTCCGAGGAGAAGCCGGTAGAAGACATAAGCCTGTGACAGACAGCCAGCTTCCATAGTCCAGAATGATCGTCGCATACCGTCCTCCAACATAAGGTATACCTGACCGAAAATATCTCTCTCACTCTAGAGCCTTTGTAAACTCTCTTCTGTGGCATAGCGACTAGTTAGATCGCCATTATAGTTTGTGTTATACACATTTAAGCATTAACTCTGTAACTTCCTTATGTATACTCCTGTAAATTAACTTTAGTTATAGAATAAACCTTTATTTTGTTATTTGTTAAACCTGTCTTCTGTCTATCCAAGGAAACCTGTCAACTTACCGATGCACTCCCCACTTGATTTGCCCTCCTAGCCATCCAATGACTCCGAGATCAGGCTTTACCAGCCTGTGCAGATTAAGTGGTCAGTATGAGATTAACCCCTGACCCACTGCTTATCTCACACTTATATGTACTATCATAAGTATGATAGTAAATAGTACAATACCACTTTGCAATTAGAATCATACCACTTCAAATGCAAAAAAAGATACAGGATTACTCACAGATGAGTGCTGCACTAACTTGTCCAACATGACTGAAACAAAGGCAGCACTGAAAGCATTAGTGATGACTATTATTTCCGATTCCAGTATCATGTTGAAGGAGATACTTGAGTAGAAAAGTAGATGAGAGTTTAGCCACAAAACTTCCAAACAATCCATGTTACAAGTGTTTTAAAATGAAAGATGAGCACAGCACTCATTCTCAAGTAATGGCAGGTTAAATGAAAAGCCCAAGTGGTCTCAAACTTTTTAAATTAGAATTATAAATTAGTTAGTAAATGAAAACTATATATTTTTAATAGTGTTTTAAATCTTTCAGGTATTTGATGAAATATATTTATGATTGAATGTTAATTGTAAATCTACATGATATTAAAAACTAACTTTCAATATTTGCAATGAAATAAAATAACAAACAACAAAAATAAAAAAATTTCCAATACTCTTTCCAATTAACCTTTAGTTAATATAATTTAAATTTTTACCTGAATGATGATCCTCTGCTAAACAATCTAGTTTTTTGACGTGATGTCTTTCTCACTTCTGCACATCGAAAGAAAGCGTGATTTTCAATACATTTCTTCCAGAAGTTTTTACATTCATTTCGTCCTTCAAAAAAGAATTCCACAGTATCTTTATAATATCCCTAAAAACGAAAAAGCATTTTTAATATTAATATAATAATAATAATAATATTCATAAATTTAAATCTTATTCCAAAATAGCTAATTGAAATATTATTTAATACAAACTAAATGTCATTCTGAATAATTTAATATTGTTAATTTTTATGAGTTTAAAAAGTACTTACATATCCTTCTGGATGTAATTTAATCAGAAAGCGTTTTCGCTTAAAACTTAATTTACGAATTTTGGCCCAAGAAAAGGTATTTATTTTTGTGAAATTCTGAAAGACTAATACTCCCATATGTGCAACAGCTAAATTTAATGGAACACCTTCATGATCCTTAATAAAAATATAGAATTAATTAAGTAAATCTATTGTTTAAAAAATTGAATTTTTTTTTTAAATTAATAAAATGAAAATACAGGCACCCTCCACTTGACATTAGTAATCCATTTCTGCAAATCAGATATTCATCATGAAAACAGTAACCAAAAGACTATTTTCCATTATTTTAAATGGAAAAAATTATAATTTGTTATAATCACAATAAATTCTCAACTAATTTCTGTAATGTAATTAAAGTGTAATATAATACCTAAATATAAGTTACAAACTAACATATTAAAATAAAAAATTCTTAATATATCATTTTCTATCATCAAACAGGTTAGTAATAAGCAGTACTTCATATGTAGTATTAAATTATATGTACACAGTGCGGCAATTATATTCCAGGACTAGATCTATAAAAATGAAACAAAACAATTTTATTCAAATCTTTTTATTAAATTATTCAAAATACTCTCCTCCTGCTTCAATACACTTTTTACAGTGATTCAATAGTGATTCAAATGCCTGCTCAAACTCAATTTTCGGTATTGCCTCTAATATGCGCATAGACTCTCTTTGGATGGTTTCAATATCATTAAAAATGCGTCCTTTCAACTTTATTTTCATTTTTGGAAATAAAGAGAAGTCACATGGTGCTAAATCGGGGGAATACGGCGAATGATTCAACACACAGACTTGATTTCGTGCCAAAAATTGACGAACAATCAATGATGTGTGACTCGGTGCATTATCGTGTAACAAACACCAGTCATCAGAATTGCGATATTCTGGTCGAATTCGACGAATTCTTCCCATTAATCGTTGTAAAACTCCCAAGTAGAAAGCAGCAGTAACTGTTTGACCCTGTGGGAC